TTGATCACCATTGACGTGCTATGTCTACCAGTTCATCCCCATATTCATTACTTGGTCATATCATCTTTTAAAATTTTACCATCTTTTCATTTTATTGGCCAATCCATCACCATATTCATCATTTGGTCACACCATGTGCTTTCTCAAATAATCTTTTCAGGTTTTTGCACTCTCTTCATTTTTCCCCTTATCATCTTAGATTTCTTTTCAAAGGAATGCAAGACTTTTTTATGCACATTATCATTCATTCATCATTATTTCAAATCATGACAAATATAATGTAACCATACATTTTCTCGATTTGTTTTGGGGATACAATAGGAAGGGAGCACAAAGTGAATTATGAAAAAAGTAATCAATGAAAGTGAGTCTGGTACAAAAATAATTAAGCAAATGAGCAAATTCAAAGCATGACCTTGGGAATGGTATTGAAAAATGGAGTAACAACATCCAAATAATGAATACTTAGACAATTATTAATATTTGTCTAGAATTCTTTTTCACAAACTCATTCCATTGACCTTTCAAAATCACATTGAGCTCATTAAACTTTGCCCTAGCTTAGAAGGATCTTTAAGTGTCTTTGACCTTTCATACATGTGAACTATCTATCCAACTCTCAACTTAGAGATTTTCTACCCAAATCGCCCTTTTCGAGTTTTCAATTTGAGTATTCTTTTTCTCTCTTTTTCATTTTTTTCCATTCTTTCATTTTTTTTCTTTTTTTTTTCTTATTTTTCATCTTTTCCCATCCATTAGTGGTATCGTTCATATTTCAATCTCTAAATTAATGTAGCACGATTCCATTGTTCCATCACAAGCATGCCTTAGTCCAACATATGATCATTTAATTCGAGCATTCACACTTGATCCAAATGAACTTTTAAAGGTTGTGATGTAAGCCATAGTGAGGGGTCATAAAAGAAATGGGTAAAATAGGCTCAAAACATGTGTTTAAAAGGTTCAAAACTAAAGGATTATTTCTCATTATTCGAAACAACTTGGCATTTTGCCCCATTCCACATCATTTCCCTACTTTTTCCTTTTTTCATCTTATTCCTCACAAAAAGATTCTCATTACTTTGCCCTAACTTGTTTGTGGCATTTTTCTTTTCTCTCTTTTTCCTTTGTTTTGCTTTTCTTTCTTTCTTTCTATCTTTGAGACCTTTTACGATCTTTTGCCTCTTTTTTTTTTCAAAAAAAATGCCCCCCAATGTAGAAGGTGATCCTTGGTTACGGTTTTTTAGAAAAAAAAATCATAATAGGCTCAACAGGGTAGCAATGAATGGTTTTTCGAATGGTAAAAGAAAAATGATCATTTTTCATCTCAAATGTGAATGCTTTCCTTGAGCTTCATCTATTGAACAAAAACAAGCTCATGGATCTTTGTACATTTTCAAGACATATCTATTCCATATCTGTTAGTAGCTAGCTTCTTTTGCTTAAATAGTCTTCTCAGATCAATGTGAATGAGTTCTCAAAATTAAATTTCAAAATTATTATTATCATTATCTAAATATTCGTCATCTAAAATTTAAGAGTGGGAATGAAAAGTTATGAAAGGTGACAAAGCATGGAACAATGGTTGAATGAAAGAGAAAATGTAGTCAAATGCATTATCATTGTCTTTTTATTAAAATGATAACAAATGAAATCCTATTGCATAAATGAAATCCTAACATTACTCTAAAAAAAAAATCCTAAAATGACAAGAAACTTCCAACCAGCCTTAACATCATTTTCAAAATTGTGCCCTTGTGCAATCAGGTGAAGGATCTTTGTTAACATCTAGCTCATTGATTCATTGTAGCTCTCCAGGCCTTTTTGAATTAACGTGTTTGTGATTCTCACTTAGAGCATTGACAATGTGATTAGGCAATGGATTGCCACTAACATTAGGTGTCGTTGCTTCTCTTTGATCAAAATTGGTCATTCCATCCTTGATTAACTATTGCACCTTATGCTTTAAAGCAGTGTAATTTTTAATGAAATGGCCAGCAATTCCATAGTGGTAGTCATAGTGAGCTGTAAGATCATACCACTGGGATAGGGTGGCTTGAGCGGCTCCACATGACTGGGGACAATTGAGTGGTTGTTATAGAGCTCTCGGTATAACTTCATATAAGTCATAGGAATTGGATCAAATACAGGTTTTTCTCAAGCATTTTGTTGCTCTCGTGAACCACTTGTTGGGTTAGCAGGACGAACCTAAGATCTTGTAGGTGGTTGAATGTTAAGGCTGTATATGGGAGCTTGGGGGCTAAAAATAGGTTAGTATGTAGATGAGTAAGATGGTTGTGGTATGGCCTGGTATGGGTAGGATAAGGTATTGTTCATAGCAGGATAATATAGAGAGTAACCTTGTGGATAGGGTTGATATCCCTTGAACTATCTGTCAAAGTCACAGCTTGAGCTTTGGTTTTTTTATTCTCTGACGCCTTCCTGGTTTCCCCTCCTTTCAACTTATCAATTTTAATGGCATTCTCAATGATTTCACCTGAGATGACCATGTCAACAAAATTCTTTATTGCATTCCCTGTCATCTTTTCATAATAGAGAGATTTCAGGGTGCTGACGAACAACACTATGGTTTTTTTCTCAATCAGAGGAGGCTACACTTGAGAAGCAATATCCCTCCACCACTGGGCATATTTTTTAAATGACTTGGTCACTTTCTTTTCCATATTTTGTAAAGATAGGCGATCAGGGGCTAAGTCTATTATATGTCGATACTGACTAATGAAATCATGGCTATATTACTCCAAAAGTGAATGTGGGTCCTATCTAACTGGACATACCACCTAGTAGCAGAGCTCGTACAGCTATCTTGAAATACATACATCAATAGTTTTTCATTATTAGCATGGACAACCATTTTTTGACAGTGCGTAGTAATGTGGATCTTTGAACACTTTGTACCGTTATACTTCTTAAACTCTGGCACCTTGAATTTTGAAGGAATAACCATGTCTAAGACTAAACAGAGCCCAGCAACATCCACTAAACCACAAAAACCAACTTTTTCCACTATTCACAACCTTTCCTCTAACAAGTTCATATTCTATTCAGCTTTTGAAGCTTTGAAAGTCTCTTTCTCCTTAGGCCTCAACTTCTCTTTCTCTTTTGGATCATCCTAAATGAGGAATTAGTACTGGTTCTACTTTCTTCTCAGTAAAGACAAGATTTACATAACTTTGATATTGTCATAGATTTGATGCTAATGGCATTCTAGGTTATGTATACCCTACAGGATAGGTGAACTGTTGTAGTGGTGGACCTTATGCAGGTTGGGCCTGATATGGCCCAAAACCAAGAGGGTATAGAGGGTTGGTCACTTCTTGTGATGGATGGTCCTGCTGGCTAATATTCTTTCTATTCCCTTTTTTTTTGTTTAACTTATTCAAGGCTTCCAAAATCTTATTCAACTCCCCTTCTAACTTTTCTTGAGCTTTCTCTATCTTTTTGAGGTGGTTGGAATTTTCTTGTTTCATCTGTCTGGCTCAAGCCCTTGTATTGTATTGGTGAGTGAGGTTACTTGGTAGAGCTATCCTTAAACCTTAAACACCACAATTATGATAAAAAATGCTATGCTATGCTTTATGTTTGGTATGTTGATGCATAAATGAAATGTACATTTTAATGGATAAAATTTAATATGAAATTGATGTAAATGCATGATGTTACATCTGACAATGAAAATGATGCATGACATGATAATGTAAATACTCAAAGTCAAAAAAAACAAAATGGTTAGATCACCATATATCACATAAATTGTTCCTTCTTATGTCCTAACTTTGGGTTACATCTATCACTAGGTAAGAAGGGCTCTATCTTAGGGCTAACCTCTTAAGTGTGAACTATATGTAGGGTTAGGTGATTTTGACCACTAAAGGTTCTCAAATTGTTCTTTACATCATAGTCCATCATAGACTAGTAAGGCATTCCAATCTTCACCCA